TTTCTGAATTTCCGAATTTCTGAATTTCTGAATTTCCGAATTTCTGAATTTCTGAATTTCTGAATTTCTGAACTTCTGAATTTCTGAATTTCTGAATTTCTGAATTTCTGAATTTCTGAATTTCTGAATTTCTGAATTTCTGAATTTCTGAATTTCTGAATTTCTAAATTTCTGAATTTCTGAATTTCTGACTACTAGAATTCTATATATCCAAAAAATTCAAAATATGAAATTTTACAAGTTTCGAGAAAGTTTTGAGTTTTCGAGATTGGTTTTCATTTTTCCAATTTTTTCAAAAAGCTGAAAATTCCAGAAAAAATGGAAAAACTAAACCAGTTGGCTTCTTCTTCTCTTCCCCATTTCCTTTCCTATTCTCCCAAACACGTGCCATTGTCACAAAATCCACAAAGAACAAACTTCCCCATCACATTAAGCACACCTTCTTTTTTATAAAAGAAGATTCCCACGTATTTTATTAGTTCCGCCCGTCTCTTCCATCTAAATCAAACATTTGAAACATAAAAAGCTAAAAATCTTATTCTAGGAGCTTTTTTTTAAATAGTTTTTTTTTGATAATTAGATTAAAGTCAGCCGGAAAAAGTTTCCCCTAACTTTTAACTTTGAGCCAATATATCTCAGTTCCTTTCGAAGATACAAAAAAGTTGTCAACTGATAAATTGTTTATCATAATATTTTTAACATTTCATCAGTTGACCACTTTTTGATATCTCTCACAGAAAATGAGATACATAGGCTCAAACGTGACTAGTGTTGATTGACTCAAATAAGAAAATTAATAGAAAATTATATGCATTTTCCCAGAACGATTGGTTTTTTTATAAACTATGAATCTGTTAGAAAAATTGTAAATCCGTTAGAAATCTGGTTATATCTCCCCGATATTATATTTTTCCCACACCAATTAACGCCCCAAAAACCACAGAAACCATTCCGTAATACATGTTTTGTTGTATACATTGTGGTGTTTTTGACCACTAGGAGGCGCCGTATTGTCCGAACGGAAAAGTGGGCGTGGTCTCTCAGAGAGAAGATCCGGAATATTCTGTGATTTTCGGGTGTAACATTCCCCCCCATCATACCAGTAATGCTGTTTCTAAACGGACAGTAGTGGCAAGACATGTCCATTTTTCTTTTTACTTGTCCTTCTGTGTGTCTGTTTGTCCGGATGATGACTTTTATGGAAATCATGGCATAGAATTCAAAATTTGAAAGATAGGCCATGATTTTTTTTTTGGAAATTTCAATGTCCAGTTTCAAATAAGCAACAACATCAAATTTTTGGGATTTTCCGTTTTTAAAGGTCTAGCATTCTAAAAACCCAGACTTTGCGAAATTTGGATTTCCTAGATTTAAAAAATCCAGGTTTTCAGATTTTGCAAAATTTGGGTATTCCAAAATTCAAAAATTCAGATTTCCCCGTTTCGCAAAACTTGAAAATTCAGATTTTAGAAAATTTTAAATATCTGATTTCGGAAAATTTAAAAATTCGGATTTCGCAAAATTTGGATTTCCCAGATTTCCAGATTTTGCAAAATTAAAAAATCTAGACTGCGAATTTTGGATTTCCAGATTTTGAAAACCCAGATTTCCAGATTTGGCAAAGTTTGGAATTCCAGATTTTATAAAGCCAGATGTCCAGACTTTCTAAACTTGAAATTCAGATTTTGCAAAATTTGAATTTCCAAATTTCCAGATTTTCCAAAATTTGAATTTCCTAGATTTCAAAAATCCTGATTTCCAGGTTTCGCGAAACTTGAAAATTCAGATTTTTCAAAATTTTAAATATCCGATTTCGGAAAATACAAAAATTCGGATTTTGCAAAATTTGGATTTCCCAGATTTCCAGATTTTGCAAAATTTAAAAATCCAGACTTTGCGAATTTCGGATTTCCAGATTTTGAAAATCCAGATTTCCAGATTTGGCAAAGTTTGGATTTCCAGATTTCCAAATTTTCCAATATTTGGATTTCCAAATTTTAAAAAGACAGTGTCCAGGTTTTTGCAAAATTTGAAATTCATCTTATGCGAATTTCGGATTTTCAGATTTTCAGATTTTTGAAATTTTGGATTTGTCAATTCCTTCAAAGCCTAGACCTAGATTCCAAACTTCATACTTTGGTTCGAAATTGTTAGAAATCCTTATTTTTAGCTCTAAATGAAAATGTTTAAATTTAACCTAATTCTAAAGCACATGGCCGAATTTTGTAGTTCTACTGTCCACTCACCTGCCCATGATCACTTGCAATCCCACAATTTCAAAAACTCGTCTACAGTAACCTAATGAGTCACACATTTTCAGACTCAACCTTAAAACTCCTGGTCAAAAATGGGCAAACTCGAGAAATTCGGTCGGAGTCTACTCAAAAAGTTCGGCGGAAAAAATGGAAGAAGTTCGTCACGGAGAAGAAGAGAAGAAGAAGCGACGTCTACCGCAACGTCGTCAGATGAGGAGCTTACAGTAACCCGAGGCGATGGATTTGTGCACAAATTTCAAGTGGTGCCTCCAGACGACGATCTTCAGATGACGTCAGATCTTCCGACGTCATCAGAAGAAATGCGAATGGGATCTCCAGCGGCTAGTGATGAAGGATCCGCTGGGTATGCTACAGATGACACTGCACTGAGTTCTTTAGGACCACTGGATATCAAAAGGGTGTCCGTAGATTATTCAGAATCCCAGGGATACTATTCCAACGCTGAATTGTCTCCGATTCCTAGAATTGAGGTTACGTTACCTGATTCGGAGAAGGTGTCACCAAGGTCTCCGGTTCCCAGAAGTCAGCTAGAGGAGTCATCTCTTCCTAAAGTTCCAAAGATCCTAGGTGTTACTGTACCCCTAGCAGAGCGGATCCTAGCGGAGCAAGAGAATCATCAACCAAGCCACGTGGAGGTTCGCACCCCTCTGTACCACAAGAAAAGCCAGGAGTTCCCTCGAATCGATGTTCGGAACCGAATGAAGAAGCATGACCCCATCTACAAGAGCTCTTCCCAATTGCTCAGCTCAAAAACAACGGAAGATTCTGGAAAATTCGAAAGATCTGCCACGTTATCCAACTTGACAGCTTCCGAGGAAGAGGATCCGATTGATCGATTCATGAAATCACACATTTATAAGACCAAGATGATAACGACGGTTTTTGAAGCAAAGGATAGAGGTTTTGAGGTGAGATTTTTGACAAAAAAATATCCTAAAATTTTATTCAAAATCACAGGAAATCTCTCTGGATGTAATGCACGAAATCGATCGTTGGTTTGAGGGAAAGAACATGATGGCTGTGGCATGTGAGCTCCATTGGTCAGTGCCACGTGGCAAATGGAGTCGTCAGCTGGAATGTCAGTTGAAGGAAAAGCTACTCCAGGCATTGAGAGAAAACAACAAGAGGCTACTGTACCTACGTGGAATGGGAACCGGAAAAACGCCGGTGAAGCTGGCTGAATCAAAGACTGTCGAGAATATTTCAAGGGATAGGAATACGGATTCCGTGAGAGGTTAGTCGATAGAAAGTTTTGCTACTGAGAAACATTTGATACTGAGAAAATTTTGCTAATGAGAAATTTTGCTACTAAGAAAACTTTGTTACTAAAAATATTGCTACTAAGAAGTTTTGCTACTAAGAATGATTTTTCTCCAAATTCATATTTTCCAGTTTCAAAAACTGTGTTACAAAAAATCGATACCAAAAAACAATTCCAGGAATCTACCAACGCAGTTACACACGTCTCCTAACGTATCTCCACAAAGAAACACCCGAATGGCACTCGCAATATTGGACCCTTCAAGATCTTCAGAATTCAGATGACGTCACGACGTCTTCTGAATTCCATCCAATTCAACCGGAACCTCAGAAATTCCTATTCGATTCTGAACCAGCTGATGTACTTTCCAAGGATTCTCTGATTTCTTTGAATATCATTGGATTGAGCATTTTGGGAAATTCCCGAAAATCTTATGGATCACTTTTTGCTCCGTGAAGGTTCTAGAATTCTGAAAATCTAAAGAAAATTTAAAATTCGGGTTCTTCTTTCTGTGTTGTAAATATTTCGTCGTCTGTCTGTGTGTCTGTCTTAATTTGTAAAAATTTATAAAATGGAATAAAACATTTCAAACTTCTCTTTTCTTTTTTTTTTGATAATTAGGAATTATTTGGTCTAAAAATTTAGAAAATCCCAAATTTCAGCTCCTCATCACCGCCTCGAACTCAGAAGATGAACGTGTGACGTCATCGACGATTCTGAAGATCCACGTGGAGAATTTGAATGATAATGAACCGAGATTTTTGGAGGTTTGAGTTGTTTTTTTCAGAAATTCAGAAATTCAGAAATTCAGAAATTCAGAAATTCAGAAATCCAGAAATTCAGAAATCCAGAAATTCAATTCTGAACCAAAGATTCTGAATTTCTTATTTTCTGAATCAAAGATTCTGAATATCTTATTTTCTGAATAAAGGTTCTGAATTTCTTATTTTCTGAATCAAAGATTCTGAATTTCTGAATTCTCGAACTTCAAGATTTGTCAAAAATCTAAAATTTTGAACTTCGAAAGCTGAACTTCTGAAATTAATAGAAAATTTTGAATCTCAAAATCCATATTTGCAGAATGGTCTCCCTGTATTCCGAATTCTTCGAAACACCACAAAACCCACTGCAATTGGCCGTCTAACTGCCCAAGATCCCGATTCCGACCCCATCTTCTACCATTTGCTTCCAAATTGTGGATCAACTGAAATCTCCAAAATTTTCTCAATTGATTCTGAATTCGGTGAAATCTCCTATCACCCAAAGACTACTGTAGATTCTGGGAAATTTGAAATTTGCTTCGTCGCCACATCCCAAAACGATCTGGACACTTCTGAAGTGTTTTTCGATGGAAATAAGCCAAATTTCCGGAAAGTTTTGGTGGATTTTGTGGATTCTGAAATTCCAGAAAACTCTGGAAAGCTTTCTGGTCTTTCTGGAAACATGACAATTTCAAAGGTTGGAGAGATTTTGGACAAAATTGAAATTCCAATTTTGATGAATTCGGTTGGAACCTCTGGAGAATTTGATCTGAAGAATTTGAATTTTGCGCCGTAAGTGTGATTTTTTTTCTCTAATCTTCTTTTGAAAATGAGTATTTAGAGCCAATTACGAGCTCGGAAGAGATATGATCTCACCTGAAAGAGCTGTAGAGCTGAACAAGAAAACTGGAGAATTAGTGGCGAATGGAAGAATTGTGGATACTCCTCAAGGGGTCTACACAGCTGAAATTGGAAAAGGAGGAAGTGTGGCCTTGAAGCAGGTTAGTCAATTAGGGTAATTAACTAGTTGGAGAGAGTAATTGAAAAGAATTAAAGATATTAAAGCTAATTTTGAATTCAAATTAAAAGCTAATAATCTTAAAATCAAAATCCTGAATTTTTGACCAGAATCTGTTATGGAGATATATCTGGAAAATCTTCAAAACTTGATTCGGAACAGTTTAAAAATTCAAAAAAGTTCTAACTTTTTGAAAAATTCAGAAATTTAAAAAAATTGAGAAATTTGAAATTTTGAAATGGCTTAAAGTTTGAGCTCATATATCTCGGTACCTGTAGAAGATATCAAAAATGGGTCAACTGATAAAATATTTACCATAAGTTCAGCTGTATTTCATTAGTTGTCAAATTTTTGATATCTCTCTCAGAAACCGAGATATATGGGCTCAAAGTGCGAGATTCTTGAAACTTTGTGTAAGCTAGAAGAGTTTTGACTTTGAGCTCAATTTACTCGGTTCATTGTAAAGATGTCAAAAATGTGTACACTGGTAAAATGCTTGTGATATTATGATAAACAATTTTTCATTTGACAACTTTTTTATATCTTTTACAGAAACCGAGCTATATGAGCTCAAAGTTTTAAAACAATTTTTAGCCTATAAAATTCCACTCGCACTGTCAAACTTGATTATCTCGGTTTCTATGCAAGATATCAAAAATATGTCAACTGATAAAATGTTACTGATATTATGATAAACAATTTATCAGTTGACAACTTTTTTGTATCTCTGACAGTAAGCGCGATATGTAAGCTCACATTTCACGGTTTGAATGGGTTTCTATTATCAAAGGGGACATTCTATTAGAGGTTTTTAAATTCATATTTTCAGCTCCATCACATTCGAAACGACAGAAAACTTCGTTACGTCCTCTCAATGTCCCGAAATGAGTTTGGCGCGAATCTCGAGAAATTCAAAAGACAAATCCTGGAAGCAATCGAAAAAGACGATCAGAAAGCTGGAAAACAATTGGACATTCATTTCGATGAGCCCAAAATGGATAGGAAGAATTCCACGTGGTTTGTAATAATAAATTGAGACACAGAATCAGAAAAAATAGCTTTCAGGACCTCTGTGTGCTTCTATTTGACTCGTGAGAATGCAATTCTTGACGATAAACAAATCACGGCGCTCATCTCCCCTTCAAATGGTCATATCTCAAAACTCCACCATATTTTCAAAGTCCAGAATGTTGATGCTTGCTCTCCAAGAGCTTCCACAACGTCTTCTGAATCCACAGCACCAATAGATGTTCCATTGAATACAGTAATCTTAATTGGAGTCGTTGGATTATTGATTATCGCGCTAATTGGACTACTAATCTTTGTTTGCTGTGTCTCTAAGTATCAGAGATACTTAAAACAGAAAACCGAGAGGATGAGAAGCTCATCGAGCGCTGGAAGTTATTATAAATCGCCAAATTTGATTCCACCACCACCACCAGGATACATGTGAGTATAGGGGTTTGGAACTTCTAAGGTAGTGGGTGTGAAATTTCGGAATCTAAAAATTTTCAATCGCTTTGAAGAAATCCCGTTATCCCCATTTTTTTAAAAATCCATTACCTACAGTACCAGTCAATAATCTGCCGTAAAACCTTTATTAGAAGGGCTCCTTTAATAAAAAGGCTCCCTCTAATAGAAGGGCCCTCCAAGAGGTATTTGAAAGAATAGAAGTTCTCCCTGTAATAGAAGGGCCTCCGTAATAGAAGAGCCCATACAAAAATTTATTTTTCAATTGATTTTTGACCATTTTCAGGAGCCTGGAGCTCGGCTGTCAATTTTCCAATCACTTTGAAAATCTTGGGAGGATGTTAAACTGACCTAGATTAAAAACCTTGCATTTATAGAATTCTTTGAAAATTCCTAGTTTTTCAGCTATTCGCCAATTTTTGAAACACACCAATTTTTCCACGTTTTCAGTACAAAAACGGGTGTCTTTCAGAAACCGGAAAATAGCTGAAAAACGAAACATGTTCAAAAAGTTCTGTGAATGCAAAGTTTGCAATCTAGGTCTGTTTTACACCTTTAAAAATTTTCAAAGTGATTGGAAACTGGACAACCGAGCTCCAAGATTCTGAAAATGGTCAAAAAGACCGAAAATCAACTGAAAAATGAGATTTTGTATATTTTATCAAGCAGTAATGTAGTTTTCTACTTTTTCCAGACATACCCCTCCTCTTCTTCCACCACCACCTCCACCACAAGCCATTGCATACTACTAATAACTTCTGAAATTCCAAACATATTCCCTGAAATTTGATCTAATAATTCTAATTTCCAATAAATTCTTGTGTATTTTTGTCATAAAAGTGTTCTACATTTTATTTTCAGGTGCTGGTTCAAATTTCAGAGCGAGATCTGTTTTCTTTCAGAAGATATGGTCAAAAAAGCCTGAAACCAAATATTGGCTCTGATAAAACATTATATTTGAGGTACCGTAAAACCTCTAATAGAACGGCCCTCACACTGTCCAGTTTGAGCTCAATTATCTTGACTCCTATGAGAGATATCAAAAGTGTGTCAACTGATACAATGTTTGTGATATTATGATGAACAAATTTATCAGTTGACATATTTTTTATATCTTTGGCAGGAACCGAGATAAATTGGCTCAAAGTTAGAAGTCAAGGAGTTTTTACAGCAAAATCAGAATTTTGGATTTTTCAAATTTTCAGAAGTTAAAAACTTCAGAATTTTAGAAATTCAGAATTTCGAAAAAGATTTAATGTAACTTTTAATTTATTTATTGACCAGGTGTAATAAAACATTAGAGGGCAGGACATGAAAGACTCAGAAAAAATGCCCCTCACGAGGCCGATCTGAGTAGGGGAGGGGAAACGGGATAATTTAGATATTTGACACAGGAAAGATGTAACCGGTAGAAAAAGAAAAATAGGGAGCAAATATATCAATAACGGGTAATACTGGAAGAAATTAATGATTCAAACTCGGAAGGTAGGAGAAATCGGGTAACTTGGGAAGTGATGGCGTTCCACAGGGGAACAATTGAAGAAAAATAGTCAGAGGAGTAGGGCTGAACAATAATTAAGTTCATAGGGCGACGAGGGGAGGAGGAGTATTTGACATGTGCATTTAGGTTAGGAAAGTAGGCGGAGCCATTTAAAAATTTATAGAGAAGAATTAGTTGAGCTTTTAGCCTACGATGTCGAATGGAGAACATATTGAGGATAGAGAGACGATCAGAATAGGAACTGTATTGGATATTACAACGCTGGAAAATACACTTAGAGAAAAATCTTAAGGGAGATTCTAGTTTTAGAGCAAGGCGAGAAGAAGGCGTAGGGGAATAAACTACAGAACAATATTCCAGAATCGGGAGAACATAACATTTGAAAAGATGAATGTAGAATTCAGGAGATTTAGATCTAAATGACTTTAAGAGTTGTTTGGAACGGAGAAGAGCTAGAGATGTGATTTTGTTGATGTGAGCAGAGAATTTGAGAGAGGAATCAATAATGAGTCCCAAGTCCCGGACGGAGGAGGAGGGAGTAAGTATGACACCCGCAATATTGAGAGGATGGGAAGAATTATGGGAACCTAGGCGAAGAAGGGCAATTTTAGAGTGGGCAAGAGGGAGATGGTTGGCGGTAGCCCAATTCACAACCATGTTGATACCAGTTTGAAGGGCGATTGGGTCATGAGAATACAATTTGATATCATCAGCAAAGGCGGCAAGGTGAAGAGAGGGGATTTGTTCAAGTTCTAAGAGCAGATCATTGATGAAAATGAGAAATAGTAAGGGACCGGAGACTGATCCTTGAGGAACACCAGAGGGAATGACAGAGGAAGGGGGTCCAATAAAATCATAGATTTTGACAGAGAACGTTCGACCAGAGAGAAACGAGGAGAACCAAGCTACGTAAGATTTAGGGACTCCAAAGCTAGCAAGTTTCTGGATGAGAAGTTGATGATGCACCTGGTCGAAAGCTTTGCGGAAATCGAAAAAGACGACGTCTAGTGTATTGTATTTCAAAAAGAGTAGCTTTATAATTCGAAAAAGATTGAACTAGAGAGGTGGTGCAGGATCTGTAGGAGAGAAAACCATGTTGAAGACTACTGAATTGATCTATTTTTAGGTGAAGATCTAACTTTAGGTGAAGATCTAACTTTAGGTGAAGTGGAAAAGATGGGATTCCCAAAAGGAGTTCAAGAGGCGCGATCCCGGTCTGTATGGCGATTTTCCTTTGCCCCACCGACTGTCTTCATCGGTTGTTTGGAAATCACTATGATCACTTGGAGTGAGTTTTTTTAAAATACCGTTCTTGCTCTAATAGAAGCCCACCCTCTGCATGCACTTTGAGCTCAAATATCTCGCTTCCTCTGAAAGATATAAAAAAATTTGACTAACAAATTGTTCATTTTGATATCTCCCATATTTTATCAGTTAACGGATTTTGGATATCTCTTACAGAAACCTAGATAATTGAGCTCAAATTAGATGGTTTGGATGGACTTCAATTAGAGAAAATGAAATAGATAATTGAAATTTTCGGGTCATCGAATTCACAACCACATTTTTCATCTCTTGGAACAACCTAACTTGAATGTTAAACTGTGCTTTTATTTTTGCTTTGTTGTTCATTAAACATTGGGAATGTCCAGAAACAAAGCTTTACAAAATTCTTCTTTTAATTTATTCGAAAAAATCGATTTTCGTCTGAAAAAATTATTTTTTTGCTACCGTAACCAAGTGAGCGCGCGCTCTGTCGCAACACAAAAATCAAGCGGGAACATTTTCGAAAAATGTTTTTTCTTGGTCAATGCTTGTTTTCTGCATTTCCGGCCATAATTTTTCGTTCTTCTGCAGTTTTTTCGCTTATTTTTTGTTTTTTTTTGGCCTCCGGCTTCTCCACTCTTTTTCACTATCTCCAATCTTGAAGTACTTCTTCAGATGCTTTCCCGGCTTACACTGTGTGGCCTTCAGAAACTCCTCAAAATTTTGAGTCCTCTTCTTCATCTTCTGCCTATAAAATGTTTTTCAGGGGATTGAGGACACTGTGAGGAGATTCGGAGCGGAGGCAGACCATGGTGATTCTGCGATTTTGGTGTTTTTGACACATGGATGTGTGGATGGCGTTTACGGAACAGATGGAAAGGTTTTCCAGCTGAATCAAGTTTTTGTGCTTCTCAGTCCGGAAAGTTCGCCCCAATTGGCTTTGAAGCCAAAATTGATTTTTGTAGAAAGCTGCCGTGGAAGTGAGAGATTTTTTTTTGTAATTTTTTTGAGGATTATTAAATTTTGATTTCCAGGTAACCGTGACGCGGGGTATTCTGTTGTAGAGGATCCGGGAGAAGATCAGGTTTTGGAACGATCTGGAGTGGGTTCGGCTGGAGAAAAGGTTGGCGAGGTAGAGTTTCAGATTTCCAAAACTTCAGAATCTTGGAATCTCAGAATCTCAGAACCTCAGAACCTCAGAATCTCAGAACCTCAGAACATCAGAACCTCAGAATCTGAGAATCTGAGAATCTGAGAATCTGAGAATCTGAGAATCTGAGAAACTCAGATTCTCAGAATCTCAGAATCTCAGAATCTCGGAATCTCAGAATCTCAGAATCTCAGAATCTCAGAATCTCAGAATCTAAAAATCTCAGAATCTCAGAATCTCAGAATCTGAAAATCTGAGAATCTGAGAATCTGAGAATCTGTGAATCTGAGAATCTGAGAATCTGAAAATCTGAGAATTTGAGAATCTCAGAATCTCTGAATTTCACAATCTGAGAATCTGAGAATCTCAGGATCTCAGAATCTCAGAATGCCTGAAATTTTGAAATTCTAAACTTCGATTAAAGTTTCAAAATTTGACCTTTTTTTCAGAAGCCAAAGACGATCCCAATGAACCCTGATTTCTTAATCAGCTATTCGACGAGCCCCGGCCACGTGGCATTTGCTCATCCGAGATTTGGAGCCTATCACGTACAGCTGCTCTGTCGAACCATTGCTGAAAGGGCCCATCAAAATGACATAGAGACAGTGATGGTTGCAGTTCGGAAGGGAATCTCGCAAATGGAATTTAGAGGAGAGAAAGGTCTCCTGAAGCAAATGCCGGAGGTAAGGAAAACGTCTGAAAATTTTTTGAAACCTAAATTGGATTGGAAAATTTTATTGCTATATTTTCCCATTTTTTTGCCATTTTTATCAAAATTAGAACAAGAACATTTTTATCAAAATTAGAGCCTAGAAAATTGCCTACCGCAAATCTATAATAGAAGGAACCCAACTTTAAACTTCCCAATATTTCTTAATTCCCGTGAAAGATATAAAAAAGTTGTGAAAGTCTGTTACAGATTTTATGGTATATTTCGAACTAGAATAGGCTAATGGACCCATTTTTACACTCTATTTCAGAATCAACTCCCCACCTTTTAATATTATTTGGGCATCTTCTTCCTTGTCAGCATACGAAGTTCCGTCGGGTACTTTAAGTCTTCCGAGCAGTCGTTTGGTCATTTCACCCTGAAAAAAAAAACCAAAGTTATCTCATTTTATGTGAAAGATATCAAAAAGTCGTCAACTAATAATACATTTGTCACATTATCACCAACATTTTATCAGTTCACTACTTTTAGATACCTCTTAACCCAGATAAACTAGCTCAAAGTTAGCAGCTATCTCAAGCCGCAACTCCTCGGCACGGAGGTTTGAGCTGCGACCACACACGACTGCCAACTTTGAGCCAATTTATCTTGCTTCTTTTAAAAGTTATCAAAAAGTGGTCAATTAATAAAATATTTATTACAATATCACCAACATTTTATTATTTTACTAATTTTTGATATCTTTTATGGCAACCGAGATAATTGAGCTCAAAGATTACAGTCTGGCTTGATCAGTGCAAATACTTATTTCAGAAAAACTCACTCCAAGTGATCTTCGGAGACATCGTTGGAGATTTTAAAGGTTTTGGAGATTTTGAAATTCCTAATAAGACGGACGGTTGAGTCAAGATTGTGATCTAAAATTTTTTGAAAAAGTTAGAGAAGCAATTTGAAAAATTCGAAAAAAGATGGAAGAGATTGCAAAACATGAAAGTCAATTTTTATAATCTTTTTTTGTGATTTTCAACTTTTTCTTTTTACTATTTCATCTTTTGAAAATTACAAAAAAAAGTTTAAAAAAAAGAGAAAAAAAAGAAGAAAAAGGAAGCAAAATCAATAGCGAATCCTTGGCGCCCTGGTAGATCAAAAATTTGAAAAAAAAGTTTTGAAAAAAAAATTGCCCAACAAAAAATAGGTCAAATTTCAGAAAAAGAAAATTCAAAAAACAACTTTTTTCCGTTGATTTCCGCTTATTTTTTCCGTAAAAACTGGCGAGAAAGAGAATTAATTTCAGGTAATTTTGAACGCAAAAAATATAATGAGCGACAAGAACGAGAAGGGAGAGCCAAAGAAGAAAATGAGGAGACTGAACAAGAAGGAAAGACAAGCAAGAAGAAAGCTGTTCAAGATCGGAGAAGAAGGACCAAAAAATAGAATATGCACTGAAAGTGAAGGAGTTGACAGGGAACATGGTTGATGATTTGGAATTCAGGGAGACGGAATTGTGCTATAGGAAACGACGGCTACTGAGAATGGGAAAAATGGAGAAAGGGGAAAAGAGTGCGGAAGACGTGGGGATTTCAGAGGTTAAATTTTTAATTCTAAAATGTTTGAAATAGTGATAATTATGAATTTTCAGAGTTGGGAGGCTGAAGGATTGATTCAGATCGAACCCGAATATGCCATGAATGATTTTCAGATGACTGCACATTCTGACTCTGTCATCAATTCGACTGAGCCACTTTTTCTTGAAGAACCAGCAACAAGTGATGAGCATCCATCAACAGACGAGCAGGAGGAAAAATTAATGAATGAGCTCTATGGGCAATTGGTGTTCCCTGAGAAAATCAATGGAGAATCGGATGTTGAAGATGTGGATAAATCGGATAAGCCATTTTCCCCAAAGAAGCCATCAGAACAACGAGATGAGCCGTCAGATGGAGTGGAGCCGTACGGTGGAATAGGCCATGCGAGAAGAAAAAAAGAGAGAAGCCGAGAAAAAATTGAGCGAACAAACCGAAAAGAAGCGTCCAGCTCAAAAAATCTAAAGAGCAAAAATCAAGAAAGTCCCTGCTAAAAAGAGCACAGTAAAAAATCAGAAGTAGTTTTTGATAAAAATTTTCAATTTTTAGGCAAAGGCGACGGCTTCAAAAGTGAAGTCTGGTAGCAATTTGGATGAATATGAATTGGAAGCGTTGAAAAAAGTGGGAATCAAAATCAGAAAAACAGCAAAGGATCAAGTTCTGAAGGATCAAGATGCTGTGGAGGGACAAAAGGTGCTTTTCAATGTCAGAAAAACTACATTTCGTTTTTTTTGGAATTGCGAAAGCATGGCTTAATTTCTTCTATGTTTTCTGAAAATTCAGACTCAACAGAACGATTTTGAACTACCGTAAGACCTGTAATAGAAGGGATCCCTAACCGTAACTCTGAGACACGTTATCTCGATTCCTGTGGAAGATATCAAAAATGGGTCAACTGATAAAATACAGCTGATATTATGATAAAAAATTCATCAGTTGACACATTTCAATATCTTTCACAGAAATCGAGACAATTGAGCTCAGGTAGGCAGGCTTCTATAAGAGGAAATACGGTAGTTTCGTATGTATGCTCACCTTAGTAGAATCTGGAATCTTTGTGTCATATAAGACATGGATAAAAATAGGCATGAACAGTGGCATGTGACCAAGCAATCATAATTTTGAGAAAATGACGTTCACCTGGGGTTTCAAAACTTGCTGATAGATGAAAAACAAAAAATATATTGAATTTTATTAAAACTTTATTTGAAATCCAATCAAATTACGAGGACATCATTGCACTAATATATCAATTTGAAATCATATTATTATTATTCAATGTCGTTGAGCGAACAAATTCCGATATTCTGAAAAAAGATCCCAAATTTCTTTGGTCTAGAATAATCTATTTTACCTGGTCTCCTGATTCCTCCATTATATCCATTGGACATTGTTCCAGATGACCATACAATTTCAGTTGGCGCCCATCCCTTTTTGAATTGCTGTTTCTCCTGCATTCCAATATCCGGATTATAATTTTGATGATTATCACGATGATAATGATGATGATGGTCTTCTGAATTTCCTCCAACTTCCACGTCATCAGCTCCAAACATCTCTGTGGTCACTTTTTGCATTTTATGATTGCTTTTCGGGGTTTCAGTGAATATCACATCATCGTTTCCATGTTCAGGATCATGAATATGTTCACGACCAGAAACTACAGTATCCGGACCAACGTGGATCATTCCAGGAGGTGTGAAGCTTGACTTTTGGGGATTAGATTCGTGGGATGACGAATCCTCTGTACTTCCATCAACAACTGGAGCTCCAGCTTTCTCCGGAGAGCTATCCACCATTTTGTCATGTCGTTTTTGTGCTTCTTCTAGAATTCCTTCCACTCCAAAGCCGGAGACAATAGTAGCTGGAGCCGAGATGGTGAAACCTGGAAATTTCAGATTTCAACTATGTCATTTTCAGAAAAGATAAAAACCTGTATTAGAAGCCCATCCAAACCGTCAACTTCGAGCTCAATTAACTCGGTTCCTGATAAAGCTATCAAAAAGTTGTTAACTGATAAATTGTTTATCATAATATGAAACATGTTTTATTAGTTGACAACTTTTTCATATCTTTTACAGGAACCCAGATAAGTTAGTTTAAAGTTAGAGGGTCTTTCTATTACAGTTTTTACAGCATTTTCCTTTTTTTCTCTAATCCTCTCATTATCCTTTATCTCACACTTTTGACCCAAATACTCACCGGCAAGACATAAAACTAGCAGACTTGATAGTATCATCATTTTCAATTCAATGCAATTCAATTAAAAAAGTGTAGACTTTGTGAAAAAGACATGGAAATTAAATACAAACCTGAAGTGGGCGGAGTCAGCGATCAGAAAACATGAAAGAAAAGGGGGAACCAAAAATAGTAGGAACTTTTGAAAAAGATGTTTTAGTAGTAAAACAAAATTAGAGTAAAAAGAAGAAAAAAGTGGTAAACATTTTATCAGTAAACGAAGAACCGGGTTTTCTCAAGGAAATGATATCAATGTTTCCGTTCCACTAGATAACAACATTTGTCTCCTTGAAATCTCGACGAATTTCGTTTCGATGTTGATTGAAAGTGTTCTCCAGACAAGTCACTTTTTGTTTATAGTAGATGCAGGAGTTCTAAAAATATAAGGTAATGATGGAGTGCAAAATAATTAGGATTGGTTTATTTTTGGCTTTGAAACTCTGTCAAGTTTAACGCCATATATCTCGTTTCTTGTAGAAGATATCAAAAAGTTATTAACTGATAAAAAGTTGCTAATGTTATGATAAATATTTTATCAGTTGACAATGTTTTGATATCTTTCACAGAAATCGAAATAACCTAGCTCAAAGTTAACGGTTTGAAGCCTGAAATAGAAGGGTCCCACGCTGTCAACTTTGCGCCCATTTATCTCGCTTCCGTTAAAATATATCGAAAAGTGATAAATTGATTAATTGTTTTTGATATTGTGATAAACAATTTATCAGTTGACAACATTTTTCTATCTTTCACAGGAACCGAGAAAAATTGGCTCAAAGTTGGCCTCCTATTCCAAACATCACAATTGATATTATTTTCGAACATCGCGCTAATCACTTATCAAAAAAGGAACGCATGGAACAACAGAAATCGGGTGATCACTTAAAACTTGATCATCCAATTAGTTTGCTGTGCACTCTGATCGTTCTTGATTCAAATCAGTAACCTTAAAAAAAAAGACTTACCGAAAAGGAAATGATCATCTCATTCAGACTCGCGTCCAAATCCTCTATTATTCCATTGAGTCGAGTTAATTGCTCCACCACTGGCATGTCTTCAAGCTGAAAATTGAATTTTTGAAAACCTAAGAAAATTGGCTTCAAAATTTTGATATCTGAAAAACGCCAATGTTGAGTTTTCGGAAAGTTCTAGGAAGATCAAATACCGCGTTTCCTCTAATTGCAGAATCGCAAACACACCGTCAACTTTGAAGTCAATCATTTCGGTTCCTGTCGGAGATTTTTAAAAATTGTCAATTGATAAGTTGTTTATCATAATACCACTAATATTTTATCAGTTGACCACTTTTTGATATCTCTTACAGGAACCGAGATAATTGATTTCAAAGTTACCAGTTTGAGCGGGCTTCTATACGAGGGAATACAGTTAAGCTATTAACGATTTTGTTCAAATTCCTTAATTATTTGAATGACCAAATTAAAATGACCCACCACTATATCCTCTGCCTCCTCATAATCATCTGGATCACACATTTCTCCAAGTTCTGTGGTTTCCAGCAATCCTCTGGAGTGGAGCATTTCTCGAGCTGGAAGTTTGAAGTCTTAAAATTTATAGATCTATAACTGGGACCCACATTTTAGCTAGAGAGCTGAAAATTAGAAACTTTGGACCGAAAAATCAAAAAATAACAGATACCATCAATCAAAAAAAATTTGAAAGGCCAAAATGATTGACAGCTACTATAAAAATTTACAATTCAAACTGTGTAAATAAATGGACCCGGAACAAGCAATAACAAGTTCCAGTCATTAAAAAAAAAGTTAAAACACGGCACGAAATTATTAGGGTAGGAAAAATTCGGTTCATAAAAGTGGAACCTCAAAGTCTAGCCTGAAAAAAAATCTAGCCGGAAAATTAGACATCCCTGATTTTTCGACTTGGATAGTTTTGAGATTTTTTGTCCTAAATTTTCAAACTTTCAGAATATTTATTACTGTATGCTCTTTTGCCAACCTACCATTCATGACAATGGTCTTATATTCCTGCGGGAATTCTTGTAAAAGTCTCGTCACATCATCTCGATAAAGTACATAGATGTCCGAATACCCAATGGATTGAAGCGACACACACCTTCGTGTCCCAAGTAGATTCCCCTTGACATGTACAATAGACAACTCTCCAAACGTTGCCCCTTCATTCAACTCGTCCAGTTCTTTCCCAGTATCATCATCAATTACCCGAAGTTTGCCCTTTTTGACGATAAACATCTCCTTGGCCTTTTCGTTTTTACGGCACAGGTAGTCGTTGGGAGAGAAGACTTGTTGTTTGACAAGAAGGACCACTTCATGCATGAATCGAGATTCGCATAGTTGGAAAATTTGCACTTTTTGGAGAGTTTCCATGTGGAGGTTGGCGGCAATGTTGGCTTGAAGGCGTGGAGGCAGAAGAGATAGGATGCACTGAAAAGTTGGATAGCTGAGAGGCCAGAGGACAGGCAAGGGCAAGGGACAGACAAGGGCAAGGGACATTCAAACTAGGGCAAACTAAGGCAAGCTAGGGCGAGCCAGGATCAGCTAAGGCAAGCTAGGGCAAACTGGGGGAAGCTAGGTCGAATTAGGGCAAAGTAGCACGAGCTAGGGAAAGCTAGGGCAAGATAAGCCAAGCTAGGGCACGCTAAGGAAGGCTAGGGCAACATGGAGCAAGCTAGGTCAACATAGACCAAATGGGCACTCACATGTTCATCATCCAATTGATTATGAGCCATTAGATACATGAAACAGCTCAACGCTCTTTCCTGGATAGCCGAGTTTACTTCTCTGGAATACATACATGTGGATGGCCGGGCCGGGCCGGGCCGGCCCGTTTGCCTCAAAATTTTCGGCCCTGCCCGGCCCGCTCGGCCCGCCTAGGACAACTTTTCGAAAATTTTATTTTTCGAATGTGCCAAAATATTTATAATGGCACAAATATTAATCCAAATGCATACAACCATCCGAAAAAGTTAATTTAATTGAATTTTTAGCCCGGACATGGCCCGGCCCGGCCCGGCCCGCGGGCCGGCCATCTTTTCCACAAGTATACTGGAATATTTAACGCAAGTTCTGAAGCCCATTCTTTGCTAAGTACCTATACTTCATGTAAAACTTAATCCCATCCATCATTTGACGAAACTCGTTGACGCTTTGACTCATTTGAACCACCACACTTCCGACGCCTGGAAATTCATAATTGGTTTGTACCAGAAAGGCACCTAGCTTCTAACTTTGAGCCGAGTTATCTCGGTTCCTGTAAAAGTTATCGAAAAGTTTCTAACTGATAATATGTTTATCACAATATCAGAAGTGTTTTATTATTTGACACATTCTTGATAGCTTCAGTGGGAACCGAGATAAATTAGCTCAGTCCGGACAGTACCCCCTTCTATCTTTCCATTACAGGTCTTACGGCACTCGAATCCCATTCATCATCTTATCTTCCCACTTACTTCCAATAATAGTAGCAAAAACCAACACCCCAATCAACGTATCGCAAATTTCCAGCGAATTTTGAGAACTGGTCGATGGCCATGGCTGCTGTCCACATGTTGTAATAGTGAGTGCGGACCAATACACAGACATACTATATTCACGAGAAAAATTACCGGTTTCCCAGCGATAGTGTCTGCAAAATAACGTTTTTGATTTGGGGTAAAAAGTTTGAAGTGTACTTATTCTTCCAATAATTGACCAGGTCCATTTTGTACGAGTCTCGAACATCGTCAAGGTCCAGAGTGTGGTCGATGTCTTCGTTGTACCAACAGTTGTCATCTACGTAGGCCTGGAAGCAGGAGTGGGGCTATTATTTTCCTACTTAAAACGACCGCACCTCACAATTCGGGAAAACTGGCTCGAAAACTTTATAGTAAGAAAATCCAAACTCGGTCTGTGACTCTTCTGTTATCCCTTCGTAAATCGAGAACAAGAAATAGACGCAAGCATTCCAATGGAACAAAACTATGCAGGAACCAGCCAAAATCACAATTTTAAACAATCTGGGAAATGTGGTTCGTTGTTGAGTGCGTTGGACGAAATCGATAAGACGAATTACTGGAATAAAACAATCATCTGGTAATCAACTTGGGTTGTGATTCCCTTAATTACCTTTAATTATCCTTACAGTCCTCAGAAGGGATATCGAGTCATCGTAGAATAGAATAAAATCCAGTGGGAACAAACAAAGTATGTCATTAGCCACTTTCAATTTCTGCATAAAGTAATTTTTTCGTAACTTTAAAGTGTTCTTGACCTCTTCCCCCTCATGAAGATATGCTGAAAATTTTTTCAATACTTGAATTTCAAAAAATCCTTTACTCAATCTAGACTGTATAAAAATGTCCATAGAGAAAATGATATCAAAAAAGATGTTCCAAAATATCCAATTCCAAAAATATTGGGATTTTATGTCGGCGAAAATGAAGATTACTATTGCAAATGCATTATAAAGAACCCCAATGGATACTAGGAGGGACCAGAGATAGTAGTATCGAGAGTTTGATGATACGTAGAAGTAGAGGAGGCGGCTGGAAGAGTTTTGAATTTTTTAGAATATTTTATCAGCTTATTTGAATTCAAGTATAACTTATTTTCCATAGTCTAACGTGAAGAATGTAATAAAAGGTTTCATTAACTTCGAGCAAATTTTCCTCGGCACCTGTGAAAGATATAAAAAAGTTGTCAACTGATAAAATGTTTATCATAAAATCAGAATTGTTTTATCAGTTGACACATTTTAGATATCTTGCATTGGAATCGAGATAATTGAGCTTAAACTTGACAAGACGATCTATTTCAGGTGTCGCAGAATTAGACAAAAACTTTTAACTTTGAGCTCAATTATCTCAGTTCCCATTGAAGATATCGAAAATGTGACTAGTGATAAAATGATGATGATATCATGATAAACATTTTTTCAGTGGACAACTTTTTTATAAATTTTAAAGGAACCGAGATAATAGAGCTCTAAATTTGACGTTGGGACTACCTTGAATCCTATATTAGAAGGGCCTCCTTTGAGCCAATTTATTTCGCTTTCTGTCAAAGATCTAAAAGTCTAAAAGGTAAACGGGAATTTCACATCTGTTTTTTCGGGGGATTTCTATTACAGGTTTTACGATATCTCAGTTTCAAAAATGATAATTTTTATCTCAACTTACTTTCTAGTATCCTCAAAAATCTCCTTAAAAATGGTCCATCCCGTCGGATAAACATCATAAGATTCCAATTCCACATTCTCGAAATATTTCTCATCTACCTGAAAAAAATTAAAAATCAAGACCCCGCCCCTTTTTTCAAAAACCACCTCAAACTGCAAAGGATCGACACTTTCAGATTCGGAACTTTCGCTGTCCATTGGTTTTCAAAAAGAAGGGGAAACAGGAAAATAGTAAAAATGAAGGGAATGAAAAATCTAGCCATCCTTTAGAAAATCCTAGCTAATCTACCTATTCATCCCTCTCCCCATAGGGATTATATAGGTAGAGGAGCATTTTGGATCATATGAATATGGAAGAATTTTGAAGAGAAAGAAAATTTTTATCCAAAAAGAGAGAAAGACATTCCACATAAAAAATATAAAATATCCAGAAATGTATCAGAATGAAGAGAAAAATTTAAAAAAAGGACATTTAAAGCAAAATAAAAAAAACCGGGCTAAAAATTACAAAAAGTGATAACTAAAAATATAAAAAAAGAGAGAAAAAGAGATCACCACCCGCCTAATTGATCGGTTTTTGCAACTTGGGAAGAAAGTGCGCTCTACCGAAACTCACAAACTTCAATGGAGCGCACTTGCAACCCTTTGCTTCATCATCAAACACAGGAGACAAAAGAAAAAGCTATTTAACTGAATCTGGAACGCTTTTCGAACTACCCACAATCACAGGAAGCACCAAATCAAAATGTTCAAGGTCTAATTTGAAAAAGTAGGATACTGTAACCAGACGATTCGCGTGGATTGAAGTGGGTGGGAGGTTGGGAGGCACACTGAACTCAATCTCTTTCGTTTGGGGACCAGCACCAGCTTTTGTTTTGCATGTGCCCTGGAAAATCGATAAATTGATATCGGTGGACGAGATAAAAAAGGTCAAAGTTGACAGTATGTATGGGCTCTTCTAATACAGGTTTTATGGTAGTTACTGTAAACGCGCTAATTGAAGCTCACCCGAACATTCAACTTTGACCTCAGTTATCTTGATACCTGTGAAAGATATACAAAAATTTGTCAACTGATGAAATATTTATAACAATATCACAAACATTTTATCAATTTACAGATTTTTTGATATCTTTCATAAGAACCAAGATAATTGAGCTCAAAGTGTGTGGTCGCCTTCATATAGTGTGTTTACCTAAAATAAAGACTAAGGGCCCTTCTATTAGAGGTTCTTTAACTTTTGTGTTTTTTTAATAGAAAATTTTCTTTTAACTCACATGACTTTCCACTGCTATCGTTATGGATTTCCGGTCGATCATCATTGGATCATTCCGATTCACAGCCACGAAATCCAGTTGTTGACATAATGACAGTAGGACGCATTCGTGGTTTTCCTGAAAGCTTAGGTTAGAATTTTTAGTATTTTTGAGCATAAAAGTTTTATTCAGAATATCGTTAAACCTGTATTAGAAGGGCCGGCTCTTCTGGGGCCTTTCCAATAGAAGGAGCAATTTTGATTCTCTGATCATAAATGAACGAAGGAGCGTAGCGACAATTACGCGCCAAAGGCGCGCCAGCTAGGCTAGATCTTCAAAATTCGATCAATTTGAAAGGGCCCTTGTAATACAGGTAAATATGTATCACTCAATTTTCTGACAATTTCGAGATTTATAGAAAAAAAACCCCACCTTTTTCCTCATCCATTTTTTCCGCTTCTTCGTCTTATTCTCAACTGTCAGACTAATTTTCGACGTCATTCCAGGCATCACACCAATCTGTTCGACTTGCATAGTAGCTATCAGTGCACCTTTCCGTCGGCCACAACAACCGGTTACCTGGAATTCAGAAATCTTCATTTATCTTCAGAATTAAACCTCCCGCCCCACCAAACTCTTACCTCCTCCTCTTCAGTGACATGTGCCTTGTCGTGTAGATATGGAGCATCTAGATTAAGCAACGAGAACACTTTGAACGTTTTCTCCGACACCACTTCTGTATCTCCATCCTCCGGGATTGCCATGAGAGCTGTACACATATACCGTATGCTTCCATGATTCTCCCGTTCCACTGAAGATAATACGTCTAGGGGTATTCGTCCTTCAAATTCTACACTGTGCTTCCCTTCGTGGAGTTCAAAGTCATCTGTGCAGTGTTCCGCGATTGTTCTAGAAATTTCTTAGATTAAATATTTTTTGACATTCCTTTTTTAACATTTCAGGCTCAACTGATAAGTCTGAACTTGTTTTTTTGCAATATGGAAGGTTTTAAAAAACTTGTGAAACACTGTTTTCAAAAAAAAAAATATATTTCAAACTTCAAGAAGGACTTACGTTGTTAAATCAATCTGCTCATCCATAAAGGTGTGTCTGCTCTCGTAGGGTAGATCGTCTTGTCGACTTCGCCAACCTGAAATGTTCTTAAATTGATTTCAAGCAAAAGAGAGGAATAAGAAGGTTTTTTTTTTTCAAATGATTATGTTGCCCAATTGAACTTGCGTGGGAACTATTGAAAGCTGAGCTACGCGTTGATCACTGATAAGAACGGGTATATCTTTGGACATGAGTATCTTGGAAGCACGAAAAGTAATATAGATATAACTTTACGTTTGGTTCATAACTACTGAATTTTTCAAAGCGATTCCTCAAGTCTAGGTATTGTTATGATTATCCAAAGTTGGGATTTTTATGAGATGAAACAACTTTGACTAGCAATAACCCAGCTCACAGTTGAGCAAATAATTTGAAACTTGGCCAATTTACTGATGAATTATTTAAATGTTTGCACTTCAAATTTCAGCCCAGTATGACGCTCCATTCAAATTTGATAATAGTTCAAACTTGAGTCCGGTGGTAGACTACTTCAATTAGAATCCAAAATTTTCAATAAACTATCAAAACGACTCACCTGTCTCTGCCACACCAGTCAACCTAACGATAAGCCCATTGATCCTGACTTGTTTCGAACATACCATTTCGATGATTCCTTTGATTGGATCACCGCCCAGATACGGCTCATCTATACCCTTATCTAAGGTCACTTCGAAGTAATCGACCTGCAAAATTAAGAAATGGGTTACCGTAAACAACCAAGTTTGAGCTAATTTGTCTCGATTTCTGTAGAAGATAGAAAACATGTGTCAATTGATAAAATGTGTGTGATTTTATGATGAACAATTTATCAGTTGACAGCTTTTTGATATCTTAGATAGGAAATGAGAAAAAGTGGCTTAAAGTTAAAACTCACCTTCATAACTCGATCTCATTCTGACATGGGACGGTCGGAGAGGCGGGGTGAGGGTGGATGGAATTTGTTCGGCGATGGAATAGAAGTATAACAGCCACCCTCTGAAAATGACAGGACTTTTTTTCAGACAACTGGAAGACAAACAAAAAAAGAAAAAAGAAATCAAAGTCAATGTTTTCTCTTTTAGCTCCAGATCCAACCAAGACGGATGAGGCAAGACAATTTGATTTAGGGGGAAGAGTTTTCTGTGGCAAATTAGAGAAAAATGGGCGGAAAATGGGACAAGTTTGGGAGCTAATGTACCATTTTTATTGGATTTGGGACGGGGAAATGTCGGAGGAGAAATGTTTCCAAGGATTTTAGAGAAAGGAAAGTTTGAAAATCTGGGGAAAGCGAAAAAAGGGCAAATAGAAAAACAGAGAAATCAAAAATCCGGTTTTTGAGTTTTATAGAAATTTAAGAATTTTAGATTTTCAATTTATAGAAATTTTGGATTTTCTTGGTTCTATGAATTCCATCAAATTTTATAATCTCCCAAAAAATAGAAACCCCTGAGATCCAGAAAAAAGAATCATGACTTTTTGGAACAGGTGCTCTCTTTTGATATAAATCTCTTTTTTCTCTGGTCGCGGCTGGCTCAAAAAGAAAAAAAATGTTTCGGGTGATGATCAGAATCAATCCATCGAAATGTAGTAACACCTGACGGATGATAGAAGCTGATAGAAGAGAGACGCAGAGAAAAAAAGAATGGATTGAGATGGGAAAAGGTGTACTACGAACATCACAAGAGGTTTTATGATTTTTGGAAAAATGAGGAGGAGGAGGCGGAAGGTGAGAAAAAGTTATAAAGTTTTATGTCTAAGAGATTTTCAAAATTTTGAAGAATTCCGAGTATCCAGGGGGTCTACATTCAGACCCCGAATATGTCAGAAGCCCACCCCATACATGCACATTGAGCTCAATTATCTCGGGTCCTATGAGAGATATCTAAAAACTGTCAACTGCTAAATTGTTTATCATTTTATCAGTAATAGTTTATTAATTGACAATTTTTAGATATCTCTCATAGGTCCCGATATAATTGAGCTCAAAGTGCGTGTATAGGGTGGGCTTCTGAGATATTCATGGTCTGAATGTAGACCCCACACGTTGAGCTCAATTATATCGGTTCCTAAGAGAGATATCAAAAATTTGTCGACTGATAAAATATTTTTGATAAAATGATGAACAATTTATTAGTTGACAGTGTTTTGATATCTTTTGACGAAACCGAGATAATCGAGCTCGATGTGGACGTATAGGGTGGGCTTCTATTAGAGCATTCACGGGTAACAAGAAGACCCAAATTGGAAATTTTCAGATAAAATATGATTTGGAAGAAAATGTATAAATAATGGTGATTTTTCGAAATTTCAACAAAACCTAAAACATTTCTTAGAGTATTAAACGATGGTTCCAGGTGTCAACTTATGGCTGATTTTGAGTTCGAGCTTGAAATTCAATGCCTTTTTCGCAAGAACCTCAAGAGTGGGACCTTACGAATCAAGTGAGGGGACTAGAAGGTTGAAATTCGAGAACTCTAGGAGTCAAAAAGTCACAAAAAGTAAGCACCCTCCATTTCTTATGAAGTCATAGGGGGGGCACACAGGTGTTGGATTACTGCTCCAAGGCTCTCCGGATGTTGAATGTTGGATTTTTTGGGAGGGAGTTTGGGAAATCAAGGGGGATCTAATCTAATTTTAAAAAATTGGCAGTATTGAAAATTCCTCTGAATTAAAAATTTGAAATTCAGTTGAAGTCAGAGTTCAAAATTTCACTGAAATCGAAAGTTCAGATTTCGAATTGCTTTGAAATATTGATTTTAAAACATTTCACTTTTGGGTTTGAACTTTACCTGTAAACCTGTAATAGAAGGGCCACCACACTGTTAACTTTGAGCTAAATTAGCTCAATCCCTGCAAGAGATATGAAAAATGTGTAAGCTGATAAAATGTTTGTGAAATTATGATAAACATTTTATCAGTTGACAGATGTTTGATATCTAGTACAGGAAACGAGAAAAATGGCCTCAAAGTTATAGGTTAGGGCCCTTCTAGTAGAGGTTTTACCATAATTTACAGAAAGTTAAAAAAAAGGTCAAATTGCGCCGAAGGCGCACCAGCCAGCCGTTTTAACGCCAAAGGCTCGGTGAGCAAGCTGGTATAGTTTTTAAAAATAACTGCCACTGCCAGCGACTCAAAGTTTCGATAAAAATTTAAACTTCCAAAAGTGGATCTTAAAAATCCTAGAATTTGTATTCTCAGCAAACCAAAATTCCTAGTCCTCCCCCCATAAAACACTTATAAAATGATATATATATATCTATTTGGAGATCTCCCAAGAAGTACATATAAATATTCAGAAAAATATAAAATAGCATATCTATATGGCTATTCAAGTGTCTGGATAGCTATAGAGGGCCCTCTCTCTCCATCCACCAAAATATCGAAAGGTCGAGAGAAGAGAGAAGGAAACAAGTCCATTGGGGATAGAGCCCAAATACCAACACAGAGATTCTTTTTTTGTTCAAACCAATATATGGGGTCTTCTGAAAAAATTTTAGATGGATCCATCTGGAAGGGATCCTCTATAGCATATATGCTTGAATATTGAAAAGAATGGGATAGAAAACTGCCGGAGGCTGAGATGAGCAATAGAGACAAGAAGACAGGAAAAGAGAGGGATATGAAAAATTAAGTGTTAAAACACAAGTATTGCCCCCATCTTCTTCTTCTTCCTCCCCTCACATCTTCAGAAGAGAGAGAGAGTGGTTGATGGACGTGTTTGGTGCCCCCGGGGAGACAAGAAGACTCCTTTTTTGTGCTCCTTTTCTTTAGAGGCAAATGTTTGTGTTGTTTTGTGTCTTACTATGAAAATTTTAGAAGAGAGAAGGCGAAAAAAAACACAGAGATTTTTCTCTTGGAGGAAATCGAGCAGGAAATTTGAATTTTGTTTTTTTTTAGTTGGTGGGAGGGTTTTATAAGGTGGGAAGGGGCTGGGACTGCAATAACATAAACAAAAAAGGAACAAAATTGGTATATTCTCATTTTTAGCAAAAAAAAATTATCCAGATTTCCTTGAGCAGAAAAATCTGTAATCATCTTAATTTCAGCAAATCCAAAACTTCTGTCTGTGCAATCTGAAGGCAATCAAAAATTTGTGATTACCATATCACAGAAATATTACTTTCAGTAAATTCGGAATGAAATAAATTTCCAAATTTTTAAAATTTGAAGTTTATTGAAACTAGACATTTTTAAAATTACCGTACTTTCTTCAATAGAAGCCCAACCAAACCGTCTAGTTTGAGCTCAATTATCTCATTTTCTATTAAAGATATCTAGAAACTGTGAACTGATAAAATATTGCTGATATTATGTTAAACAATTTATCCCTTAACAATATTTTGATACATTTTAAGAGAATCGAGATAAATTAGCTCAAAGTTAATAGTTCATAGTTAATAGTTAGAAGGCCCTTCTAAAAATTCTGAAATCTTGAATATTCTGAATTTTATGAAATTCAACTTTTTATTTGAATCTTTCAAATTTTACTGAAACGAAAATTTATTATTTCTTGACAGAATGTAAAAAATAGAAATTCTCCTACTCTATAGTTTTTTTTTTGAAAATTTTTCTAATAAATCTTACTGGTATGCATTCATTTCATATTTTAAATTGAAAAGTAGCCCAAAAGGAGCTTAGAAAATTTCAATTTCCAAAATTAAAAAAAGAAGCTTTTAAACAAACGTTTCAAGCAGTCCGAGCAGGTTTAAAAGTTTGTGGTCCTTGCTGAAAAATAGGTCAATTTCCAAATTGACTATACATGAAAATGGACCTCGCGTGACCCATAATAATGACCCACTCTTCTATAGGAATACGCTAACCTAATAGATAGAGGAAGGTTATTGAAAAATGTAATAGAATTCCCGGACCAACGTGGTCTAGACCACTTCTTCGTTTCTCAATAACACAACAACAGATGTTGCAATAACATGATGCCTATGAAGGAAAAGAAAACGCGACATAACAAGAAAAAATAGGAGATATAGCTCATATACGGGGTCATTTTATCTGAGCTAGATAGACAGGAATAAAAAAAACATGGATATTTTTAGGGAGGAGTATCCAAGAATTGGTGTCAACTGGATAATGAGTTAATAATACATTCGCGTGTTTTGGATAACAAGTTTGGAAATAGCGGACATTGGATTGTAGAAAAATGAAAAATTTTTCAAGTTTAAAGTTCATTTAAAGGTGGGGGGGGGGGGACAGGAGATTTTTCGTAGTTTTTTTTAGCTAGAGTATGCATTCTACCGTCACAGTGTACAACGCTTAATGTCACTCTGCGTACAGCTGTCGTCCTCGCCTTTATGTATGCGATCGGGCGTCCGCTTTCTCTTTGCCCGCGTGGCTCAGTCGGTAGCGGCGCCGCACCCTCAATCTTCGCCTTCACAAGTTCAACTCCTCGAGGGGCATCTTTGAACGGAATTTCGAGAACATTATTTTTTTTCATGTCCCCCCACCTTTAAACAAAAGAGACAGAAAAGAAGAAACAAAGTTGGTGCAGAATAATTATAATTGAATTAGTAAACGTTTAAAGAGCAGGTGTTTCTATTTTTAGCCTACTGTCTTTTTTATACTTATCAGGCTGTAAATTGAAATATTGTCACAATAAAGGGTCCTTAATACGTCATCAGGTAACATATGATGGAGAAAAGACAATTGATATTAGATTAAATAACAAAGTTTACACTTCTGTTCCAAAGGAAAATACCGCCAGGATGTGAACACACGATAATTACAAGGCCTACACTAAAGTTTGTACTAGCATAAGATTTATAATAAAGAGTTATACTGGACTTAAATTTGGATGACAAGCATTCAAATAATTCATCAGTAAACTGGCCAAGTTTCAAATTATTTGATCAACTGTGAGCTGAATTAGCGCTTGTCAAAGTTGCTTCATCATGTTTGAACAATCATAACAATCACTAGAATTCAGGAATTGGTTTGAAAATTTCAGTAGCTTTGAATCAAACGTAAAATTATATTTCTACAATTGTCTGTGCTTCCAAGACACCTATGTCTAAAAATATACCCGTTTTTATTAATCCTGGTAATTGTGCACCATCTTGTAGTGGCTAAATGTCTCCTGATGTTTTTCTCTTTTATAATTCATCATCGCTGTCTTCCAACCATTCTTCAAAAATTTTCTCAGTTGAACTACTGGAACGAAGAGTCACGAAACTCTCGCTTAATTTGATCTTATTGAAAAGCAGCGCCCCCCCCCCCCTCTCTCTCTTTTCAAATTGGCTGAAATTTAGTCCATGTCATTGAAACCACTCCCCCATATTCTCTTGTGAGGCTCACTTACATCAAGTTGTGAATCAATACTTTGGATCTTACTGTTTCTGACCAAAAATGACCAAACTGCGCTTCCCATTTATGAAAAATCAAACGATCGCAAAATGCATTGACTTGTATCAGGTAACGTTGACTACTAGAGTTCTACTGGTTACTGTATGACATTCCAGGCTTCTCCAGTGGACACTACTACAATTATCTTGCATCTGGTACTAATTCTAGGAGGACTGGTATCCAATATATCCCTTCATTTCATGTTTTCCGGTAGACCCAAATTAGGCACGGCGAGTTTTGCCTACATCCGAATCATTGGGATGTTCCAGTTGGCATTTTTCATCACACCGTTTCCATTGAAAATTCTCACGGATCATTATCAAGCGTAAGTAGAACATAAGATTCAATCTTCAGTATACCGTAACACCTGTATTATAAGAGCATCTTAATATGAGAGCCCTCTGGCACAATACAGAAGGACCAGCCCTTCTAGTTACCTTATCGTCCTGTACGTACATTTTCAGGGGCCAAACCTGGATTGCAGCCAATTTCCTACCCGTACTACTGGCTCTTTTTCACTTTGTGATCTCTACATTATGTCTATGTTTCACTATCAGATTGTTACTACTTCTGAATTGCATTCGGGTGAGTGATAAGCGATTTTGTACTACAAAAAACATACTGGTTTAATCCTTGACTAATTTTTAGAGATGCCGTCGCTGGAGTTCTGTGTCCTGGGTGGCTTGGCAGAAAATCTTCTGTCTCCTACCTTTCGGAACTATTGTCAATGTTCCACTTTGTTTTGAATGGGTTATCGACTATGAGCAGTGTGTTTTTGGGTAACGTTTTAGTCTATAAGCTAAATTAGTAGCTTTTCGAGTTTGCAGAAAAGAGCTATATGCAATAGGAAGACCTCATCTGTCAGAAGCTGCTCTTCAGAATCATATAAAAACAGATTTAATCAGAATCATTCCAACAATCATTTTTTGGTAAGGGAACGGATGATCGGCGGGTGTCCGGCAGACTATTATTTTCCAGGATCACTGCATTTTGTACCTTAGTTTTTTTTGCCGCTGAAAAGTGCATTCTTCCGAAGCTATCTAGCCCATATGCTGCCAAACACATTCCCCTATTCTCCAACCTCCAACCATTGCTCATCGCTTTCATCTTGTCCCATGCAACAGTTCATGTCTACACTACTATTCATATTTTATATGACTTAAAGATTCCAGATTCTACTAGGGTGAGTGTAGCAATCAAATGTTCTTTCTCAAATCTGCCTTCAGAACCAAATGTTTGGGATCTCCTACGCCCTCCCATTCCCCATCATGCTGATTATCTCCAGAACGTTCCGGTCCCATTTGTTCCATCTAATTAGCAATTTCTTTGAAGGGTAGGTTTTTAGGGGCAGCAAAAACGATTCGTTAGAAATTTTAGACATATTTCCAGGTTGGCTCGACCTCCAAAAATGCGGAAGGATTCTACACTTCAGAAGATGACGTCACAAATTGCAAGGCATATGGCATTTAGTAAATTGGAAATGGAGAATTCGGAACTGGATGAGAGATTGTACAGTAATCTGAAAGTGTGAGTAAACACATTGGGAGCTCGAGAGTGTTTTTTCAATTTATTTAGATACCGTAAAACCTGTATTAGAAGGGCCGGCCCTTCTATTTTTCGTGGGGTTCCTAGGGGGCACTTCAATTAGAAGGGCCCTTCAATTAGAGGGGGCACTTGTATTTTTCGTGGGTCCTCTGAAAACGGATCTTCTATTGGAGAGGCATCGTTTTTCAGTGAACATTTCGTTTTTCTACTAAAAATCCATTACAATTTGCCCTTCTAATACAGGTTTTACGGTAAGTTTGAAATTTTTAAAGATAATTTTCTGGACTATAATCTGAAGTTCTATAACTCCAATTTTTCTGAAAATCTGAAAATATTTTGCAGGAACAATATGCGATCTATCCTCCGTGACGACGCTGTCTACCGTGTTCGTTTCGCCATTCCCCAGCAAACTGTGCAAATAATTCAGGAGGAGGATAATTCTGAAAATGATATCTCTATTTTTAGTCGTGAATGATTTTTCGCCTTATATAACTATTGTGCTGCTTTTCAAAGTACGAATCTTTTTTGAATCCTGAAATATTTTATGAATAATTTTCAATTTGTTGCGTTCTCCAAGGTTCAATATTTGTTCTAATTGTGGTCTGAAACCATTTTTTTTTTCAATTTATCGCCCAATTTCGAATTTTCGAAACCTGTCATTCTTTAATACATTTATGTCAAATGTGCTATTTCAAACCATACAAATGTTATTGATAGTTTTAAAAAGGGAGATAATTCAGAATAGATAATAAACCACCCCATAACTCTCCCCTTCCATCCGTTCCGTTCCAGAACACTAGATGTTCGTTTTTTGTCCTCTATTTACACTATTTTCCCGTCACTTTTTCCCTTCTTCTCATCTCATAACCCTTCGAAAATGCAATAGAGTGCCAATAGGTCAATTACGTACTTTCCATTTTTGCCTCCTTTTCTTTCCTTATGACGGCGAAAGGTCAATAAGTGTATGGGAAATAGATTAGTAAAAAAATACTGTAGGTTTGCAAGTTCTCCGGGGTACTGTAGAACCAATTTTTCTCGATTCCTAGAAACGATATCAAAACGTTGTCAACAAGCAAATTATTATTGATAATAAGATAAACATTTGGTCTCTCTCACCGGAACTCAGAAGACCCTATTAATACAGGTTCAGGAGTATTCTAAAGAGCTAAAGTCCTTTCACCATTCAAGATTTGGTATGTAAAGTCATAAAAATAATGCGAAATTAGCACCTTTTAAGTTTCTGAGAAGAAGAAGGACTAGGAGGGTGGCTAATACTATGTTGTTGTTTAATAACAAAACCGGAGAAATTATAAGCGACGAGAGATGTTGAAATTATAAGGTTAGCATATATGGAAAATCTCGTTTTGAGTGGTGGTGGGAGGAAAAAAGAACGAAAAGTCTGGCAGAAAATAAAGCATCGAGGAATTACAATTTTCGAAATTTTCTAAGCATTTAAAATATTGAAGTTGGTTTTAAGCCGACGGTGTTGTACATGGGGCGCACAACTACCTGGATTGATAAAAACGGGTATGCCTCTAGATATAAGTATCTTGGAAGCACGAAAATTGGTAGAAATATAAATTAACGGTTGATTCAAAGCTACTGAAATTGTCAAAGCGTTTCCCTAAGTCTAGGTATTGTTATGACGACCAAAGATGAACGACATAAATTCATGACTTCCAAGAGATGAAGAAACTTTGACAAGCGATAACCCAGCTCAAAGTTGCTCAAATATTTTGAAACTTTGCCAGTTTTTTTTATGAACTATCTGAATTTTTGCACTCCAAATTTCAGGACAGTACGGCGCTTCATCCATATTTTAAGCTAGTACAAACATTAGGTAATCAAGCGCCACGCTGTAAATTTGCCAGATCACGAAGAAGTTATTATATATATATATGAACATATTATGTATAATTTCCGCTGCTACCATTTTACTGACATTCTTTTGAATTTTGTGTGCAGAATATCAAAATCTACAGCATTGGCATTTTGTCCACCTCCTTCACACTCACTTTCCCAGAATATTCCCGAAATTTCCTTTTTCGATTTTCCCCCTTATCTTAGACGTTTCCGGCAATCCAAACAAAAGAAAAACACGGTTCACACTGTCTCACTCTCGAAAAAGGACAAGATGAACGGAAGGGAAAAGAATCAGATATAGAATGGAAGGTGCGATAAATTTTATGCCCAGCTATTATATATGTCCCGTGTATGTGATCTACGCGTTACGATGAATTTAGGATGAGAGATTTCGGAAAATTATGGAGATTTATGGATGCATCGGGAACTTGTAGGTATAACTATCTTGGCGTCGCCGGCAACTTCTGATCTGTGATTGGTCGGATTCTAGATAAAGCCGCTACTAACGCCTACATAGTATTATTTTAATTTTCAGCTTCTGACCAAAATCCGACCATGGCCCGCTATACAGCCGTTTTCGGGCAACTTCCAATCAACTTCTGACCAGAAGTTATCAGCCAGCAGCTTAGTCAAAAAACCACTCTGAAATTTCAAATCTAAAAAAAAGAAAAAAAGTCGTATTTTGGAAGTTACTACATTAGACTTCTAATATTCAAATTTTTGGTTTCGCAGTTTCGAATAATCAAATTCACATGTTTTCAGCTTGAAACTTTTTTTTAGGCGCAGAATATGTAAATTTGGATCACTAAATATTTTCATTTCGAATTTTGAACGTTCTATATCATATGATGTAAAATTTTTGTAGAATTAGAATTTCCCAAGTTTGCTCCTTCCAAATTTCAATCCCCACACAATCATTTTTGTCAATAAGATGGTTTTCGTCCATTATGACCATTTTCAGGAGTCTGAAGCTCGGCTTCCGATCAGTTTGTAAACTTTGGAGGGCGTAAAATAGACGTAAATTCGAAACTTTGCATTTACAGAATGTTTTGAAAATTCCTAGCTTTTCAGCTATTTGCGGATTTCTTTTCCTCATGTTTTCAGTGCCAAAACAGGCCAAAAGGGATTTTTCTCAGAAAACTGCTAAAACAGTAATTAAAAAAATTCTGTGAATCCAAAGTTGTTTTATATCTTCCCAAATTTTCAACACAGGTGATTCGCGAACAATCCGTTACGGACGCTCAGCGTTCGCGCGCGGTTGAAATAGGAACCACATACGGACCGTACGCGAACCGTTTTTAGTAAATAGCAGTACATTATTCGGATTGATCCGTATCCTAACTGAATAAAACATTTGATTCGCAAACGGATCCGTTTGGTCATGATTCGCAAACGGATCGGATACGGAT